TTTTCCATCTAAGTTCCAAAATAAATAGAAATGAAGTAAAAAGTGAACACACACTTGGTGGTGTTATGGAGAGTATGTGATTTTATTTACTTTTTTTCCTTCAGTGATTACTGTTTGGGGAGTCACAAAATATTTCAGAAAGATCAAACTGCTATCCAACTTCATCTGCAGAAATATAGAGAAAATCCAGGAAAGTTATCTAGAAAGGTAAGACTTCATTACGATTGGTTTCAATTAGAAAAGTGATCATTTTAAGAATTCTTATCTTTATGAATTTTTGTCGATATAGATTGATAATTATATAGAATGGTAAATGCACCCATTTGAATGTATTTTATTTAAACAGAATTAAATATTTATCTGTATGCTTGTTAACAATTTACACTTAATCAGTTACATAAACGCATTACTGCAACATAAGTAAAATAACTCATAAATCAGTCTATTTGAAAAATATGAAGGGAATTCATGAAAAAAATCCCTTAGCCTTTAATTCTGTCTTTCCATGAACATTTTGAAGCCCCCTCATAGTACATGATAAATTTTTGATGGTATTCGTATTCATACTATCTATATATCAATTTAGAAATGAAAGAAAAATAGAGTGAAGAAAAAATCATTGAAGGGGTAAAATAGCTATTCTTATTCTATTGGAAGTCTGTTTGTGTGTATCAACACAGCTTAAATCAGGATAGATTAATATTCACAATATATATAACAAAACAACTGAGAAAGGGATTACTGTGATTTAATGAGCATATTCTATGCTGTTAGATACAAACTTTATTCCCTGTGTCATGTTTTGAGTTACTTCTAACCCCAATTGCAAACTATGCAGTAACCTTTGATATCTTGGTGATTTTTAAATGTAGATTCTTCCAATTACTTGCTTTAAGCAAAAATTCCATCACCCTGTCATTTACATCAAATAACAGATCTGAGTACTTATTTCTTCTTCTTCTTTTTTTTTTTTTCTTCTCTAATCTGAGGTGTTTCATCATAAAAAGTGTCTGGTGGTGCATTAGGTTCAGTATATCTTATGGAATATAACATAATGAGGCCAAAAGAGAGTTGTTTGGATCTGCTCTTCTGCTCAGTGGGTGTTGACAGCTCCCGGGCTATGAATCTGAATTCTACACAAAGAAACATTTTCAAGTATAACTAGTACCCTCAATATTAATAAACCTAAGATTTTTCTGATTGTATACAATGTGGAAGAAAAAGCTAAAATCATCATGTTTCATTGCAAATAGGAGAAGAGAAATTATATAATTGCAATTTCTAATCAGGTTTTAGAAATTGCATATTATTAAAAAAAAACAATAACTTATTTTATTGGTAGTAATTTGCAAAACATTTCAGTCATATAAATTAAGGTTTATTTGTAAATCCCTATCAAACTATTATACTAAGATAATAATATATTATGGAACACATATTTTTATGCCTGGGACTTTATCATTGTTATCACTTTTACTCTTCACAATAATTATGAGGCAAATACTATTAAAAATGGAGTCACTACGAGTTAAAACCCTGGACTGCAAGGACGGTTTGGATTGCAAGGTAGGCAGTTCAAGATCACCAACTGCTCCTGAGAAACCCTATACAGGGTCTCTATGAGTCAGAACCATCTCAATGGCACTTAATAACAACAACTAATAAAAAATGAGAAAACTGAGTTACAGGAAGTTGCCATGATTTGCTCAAGATCATCATCCTATAAGCAAAGCAGAGGAGCATGAATATGAGCTCATAGCTCAATTATATACAACTGACAGCTAATGTGCTTAGAATTTATGGTTACCAGGTAAAGTAGTGGGCCTGCTAACCTCAAAGTCAGCAGTTCAGAACTACCAACTGTTCCACCTGAGAAAGCAGATGCTTTCTGCTTTAGTAAAGATTTAGAGCCGCAGAACCCTGTACAGGATCGCTATGAGTTGGAACCTACTCCACGGCACACCACCATCATCTCAAAAGTTATTATCGTAACTGTAAATACTATATTTGACAAAAAATAAAAATTGCATTCTTTTTTTATAAGTTTTATATAATTTCTTTTCTTGAATATATGTGGTATTCTGATCAGTTTAATATAACAGAATTGTAACCCCTCTTCATTTTGCAAATTACTATATTAAAAATAATTGATCCCTGAATTTTAATATATACATATGAGAGGGGTTATATGTATGTATTAAAAATCAGGATTTTTAATACATACATATACACACACACATATATATATATATCTCAAAGGGAGCTGATTAATTTTTCCTGCCTTTATTTTATTTTTTAAAGGGGTGTAAGCATTCCTTCATTTTCAGAATTTCAGCTGTAAGCTAACCCTTTATAAATGTTGTTGTTAAGTGCTGTCGAGTTGCTTCCAACTCATAGCAGTGATCCTGTATAAGGTTTCCAAGGAGAGGTGGTGTGTTTGAAATGCTGACCTTGTGGTTATCAATCCAGTGCTTTTCCTACCATGCCACACCAGGACTTCAAACGTTTATGAATACTTGTATTTTATTTCTACGAAAACAATAACACTGGCTTGAGAGTATTCTTTTTCATATAATTCTAGGAACACAAAAATGATAATCCTAATAAATTTATTGACACCATTGTCTTTCAGTAAATAGTTTTCTAGTTGTAATAGGTATTATTAAGCTCAATTTAACTCAGACGACTTTCCTATATTAAACATATTTGTGTTATAAAAAAATATGATCATTTAATTCTTATTCCACAAGATTCTTTATAAAACACGTTGACTGTCTTTAGTGATCATCATAGAATTTAAAAGTTTAAAGTATTCATGTTGATTAAATGTCATATGAATAACTGAGTCTCTTTATCACTCTCATATATAGCCAAGAGTATTGGCAATATTGTAGCTATGTATGAATTAAAACACCAAGGTTTTCTTCTATTTCAAGGAATAGAGATATTTATAGCAATGTATTTTTGCATGTAAACAGAAAAAAAAAAAAAACCTTTAATAATAATTTTCTCTTTAAGGTTTTCTCTTCAGCTCTGGAGAAGATTAAACTTACATAGTATATCCCATGGACAACTACTGAAACTTTCTTTCAAATTCTTTTAGTTGCTTTAAATATTTTTTTTCTAGTAAATAATGATATAACAAAACCAACCCAAATCCCTGAAAACATCTATAGAATAGATAAAACCATTTTTGAAATGAATATATACAGAAGGATAAATGTGAGTCATACTGTTGTATGCTTGTTTTGGTTTTAACTTCTGAGAGAAGGCAGGTTCCAAATAGTACAGTGCAAAAGTTGCAACTTCCTCTTTTTATTCTGTTTCTCACTTTTCTATTTTCCTTTCTCTTTCACCTTTTCTTCTATGACTAAAACTGAACTTACTCTGTAATAAAGGGGGGAAAAAAGTCTCATCTTTATCACACTTTCCTCCAGGAATTAGTGTGAATACAAAATAGTTTCTGTCATCCAAATAACTCTAGCTGTTAATTCCTAGAAAGTAAGTCATATATTTTTAAGTACTTAAGCATGTTTACAAAATGTTTTAAACACACACACACACACACACACACACACACACACACACACAACAAACCAGGACATGATCAATGTATTATATTATAGTGATGACCTTGCTCTTCTATGTAATGTAGCTACCTTATTTTTCATCACAGAAAAATCCAATATAAAGATTAGTTTACTTTTCACCATGCCATATAAAAGTATTTACTCTGATTTTTCTTTCATAAGCTCTGGTAGGCCATTTAGACTATAGGTTGTATGTTTATTGACACACAAGATGACGTTGACTCCAGGCATTACTGGACTCACTTGGCTCTCCAATGTAACACCGTCACGTTCTGAAAGAGTGTGATTGTGATGGAGTATATTACATTTTCTGTAGCAGTCTTGCAAAGGATGTCTATGATCAAAGAGCTGGTCAAGGAGTTAAGTAGTGTTAGTGTCTATTTCTGTGTATGTATGTCTATGTACGTGTGTTTTTGTGTTTGAAAAAGAGAAACAAAGCATGCATATAATTCATAAGACTACCATTTCTGAATCATTTTCAGTAGAAAACAAAACACTACCTGATAACTCCTGGAATATATACCTTTAAGTAGCTGTTATTGATTAGCATAATTTAATGTGCATGACATGTAAACCTCTTTCACACTGACATCTTAATAGCAAGATGTGGTGAAACTAAAAAGAAACTAAAAGTAGGAGTTCACCTGTACATCTGGCAAATTGTCAAGTCTTACACCACCAGTTCAAACACACCAACTGCACCTTAGCAATCCTATACAGGGTTGCTATGAGTCTAAACCAATTCTACAGCACTTAAATACAACAAAAACAATGTCATAGCATCTGTGGCCTAATAAAAAGAATGTATGTGGGTAGAACTGGTCATTGAAATACTGCCTTAGTATAAAAGAAATTTATGTTTGACTTTGGTGATGCCAGGCAGGTTTTCAACTGTCTTGTAGGTTTGTTCTCCACTGAAGTTCATCTTTCTGCTTTATTATTGAAAATCATGCCTATATAGTTAAAGAATGTCAAGAAAACAAAATTCCTCACCACTGGACCAATAAACAACATTCTTATCAATGGAGAAGAGATTGAAGTTGTCAAGGACTTCATTCTTCTTGGATCAACTATCAACACTCGCGGAAGCAGCAGTCAAGAGATCAGAGGACGTATTGCATTGGGCAAATCTGCTGCACAGGAACTTTTTGAAGTATTGAAGAACAGAGATGTCAGCTTGAGGACTAAGGTGCGCCTGACCCAGGCCATTGTGTTTTCAATAGCCTCATATGGATGCGAAAGCTGGACAGTGAATAAGGAAGATCGTAGAAGAATTGATGCCTTTGAGTTGTGGTGTTGGAGGAGAATACTGAAAGTGCCATGGACTGCCAAAAGAACCAATAGATCTGTTTTGGAAGAAGTGCAGCCAGAGTGCTCCTTGGAGGTCAGGATGGCTAAGCTTCGTCTCTCCTACTTTGGACATGTAGTCCGGAGGAAACAATCGTTGGAGAAGGATGTCATGCTGGGTAAGGTGGAGGGTCGGAGAAAAAGAGGAAGACCTCTAACACAATGGATTGGCCAGGTGGCATCATTGATGGACTCAAGAGTGGCAGCGGTAGTGAGGTTGGCCCAGGATCAGACATTGTTTCGTTCTGCTATGCATGGGGTCACTATGAGTTGGTTCCAACTCGATGGCACCTGACAACAACAACAACAACATAGTTAAGGATAGTCTTCTAAGGTCTTTAAGACAAAGTATAAAAATGATGAATGAGGATTATCAAAAGAGGTGATGAATAAAATGACAGCAAGAAGTTACAGACCTATTTTTATCTGGTACTCGTTCCTATTCACTCTATTAATACTAATATATTCTGCTATCTACAGCATGAAGATGACCATAGTCAGTTTTATCTGAACCAGCTTCTGGAACATATGCATATTTGGAAAGTATCCAGGTGAGATATTTTATTTTTCTTCTAAGACTACTTCCTGACTGAATTCTCAGTTGTCAAATCACAATGTTTTTTTTCCTGTTAATTATAAAAAGTGGATTTTTGTAAGTACCGTGGAAGCTATTGTACTTTTAATAGATATCTCCCTTTGGCAAATTCCATTAATAATTATCTATTCTTTGCAGCTATTCAGACACATTTGAAGAATTGCTAACACCTTCCAGAATAATCTAACATGCATTTTAGTATATCTCAGCTATTGGTTATTACATTTTCAAGGTTTTTTTTGTTTTCTGATCCATTTTGTGAATTTGGGTTGCATGTGCCACAAAGTTTTTTTCTATAACTGAATTTCCATACTTTGAAATTCACTATATCCTACTTAATATTCACTTCTGGACTGCTCTGTGAATAAATTGTATGTCATAAACAGAGAACTGTGAATTCAAACAGGAAAAATTAAGTGACAGCAAATGAATATGCCCTAATAGATTCTAATATTTAAATATATGTACATATTATTTGAGAGAATAGACATATCACAAATAGACAAGCTATGCCAGGAGAAGATATAAGTGCTATAGTTTGAGTTCCTCTGGAATTAAAAAATGTTCCTAGCTGAACCAGCAAAAAACAAACAAACAGGGAAACGTATGTCATAAATCATAAACACAAAGTTTGACTAAAAGCAAGATGAGATAAAATATTTTAGGGAATATTCATTAAGGTCATCACTTCTTGAAGCTTACTATATATTTTCATATACTAATTTTCACTATGAAACTTCAGAATCAAGGAAACTAAAATTCTATAATTTAAATAAATTACCAAAGGTTACTCAAGTCATTAGTAACTGAAATCAGATTTCTCTGAAACACACTTTAAGAATTTTATTCTACTTGGATCAGTAATCCATATTCAGCATGTTTCATTAGACAAATTGGCAACAAAATATTTCTTTAAATTGATAAAGAGCACAGATGTCTTTGATGACTAAGAAGCACCTGATCAAGCCATGGGTCTTTTCAATTGACTCATGTGCATATGAAAGCTGGACAATGAGAAATGAAGGCAGAAGAAAAATTGAGTCATTTAAATTGTAGTATTGGTGAAGAATATTGAATATACCATGGAGTGCCAGAAGAAAGAAAAAATAAGTCTTTGAAGAAATACAACTAAAATGTGTTTTAAAAGAAAGGATGGAAAATTTAAGCTTACTTATTTTGGACATGTCATCAGAAAAGATCCATTTCTAGAAAAGGATGTCATTTTGGGTAGACAATCAGCAAAAATGAGGGAAATCCCCAATAGGTCCAATAATGGACTCAAACATACCAATAATCATGAATATAGGACAAGACTGAGAAATATTTTCTTATATTATATGTAAGGCCACCATGATTTGCAGCTGACTCAGCACTGACCTTCACTGTCGTCTCTGGGTGGTGTAAATGTGCTTCTAACTGAAAATTTGGAGGCTTGAGTCTATGCAGCGATACCTTTGAAGAAATGCCTGGCAATCTACTTCCAAAAAATTAATGATTTAAAATCCAATGAAGCATAATTACACTCTGACGTACAGGAAGAAGATCATTATGAATCAGAATCAACAGTTTAATGATTATGGCCTTCATTTAAATAGTGTACTGTTTCTTGTTTATTTCTCAAAATATCCAGCTTCATACCATAAAATCATAGAATGCCTTGGGGAAGAGAGGATGTTAGATGCAACCTAATCCAAATTTTGACTTAATGGCCAATCATATAAATTAGGTAAAGGTTCCTGTCAAGATGGAATATTAACAAAGGCTGCTATTTCCTGTTTCCAAAATATGATTCAGAAAATAACATAGAAGAAAATCAAATCCCACCAATTTATTAAAAAGTGAGAAATCCGTGGGGCAACTGAGAATTGTTTTGAACTGGTTTTATAGAAGTTTGTGACCTGTAAGTGATTGCTTCTGGACACAGAATATTGTAAGAAAACTGGGAGAAGATGGAGCAAGGTAATTTTCATCTTCTGCTGCCTTATCTCTGCCCCTCAGAGAAGCCTGTGGTGTCCATGATCACTGGTGCAGGTATCCATATGTTAAACCAGGACAGAGCAAAGTTCTGCACTCATAAAAAGTAAAGGAAGCCTGGTAGGATGAACTAGCCTCTGATTTTAATTCTTCCACCCATCCCTTCCAACCCCAGGGTGGTGGACTGCAATGTATGGCTCTTTTCCCCAATGCTGCTAATTTTAGTTTAGGAAACTAAAACAGAAAATTTGCTAATTATTATTTAGATATTTAATTTCAGAGTCACAACTAAAACTCTTATTGCACTCTAATTATGTTCCCTCCCTTAGGTTTTCTTAAATAATGTCTAGAATAGGTCCCGCTTCAACATCATTAAAATCTTTGTAGGCATACAGTATGACTCCGCCTGCCCATTTCAAAAAATTTCTTGGTTATTTAATGTTGCTATAGCCAAAATTTGGAAGACAACTATCTGGCCAACTGATTGGAAGAGATCCATATTTGTGTCCATTCCAAAGAGAGGTGACCCAACAGAAATGGAATGCAGAAATTATCGGACAATATATTTGATATCCCATGTGAGTAAAATTTTACTAAAGGTAATACAGAAATGGCTGTAAGCATATATTGCCAGAGAACTTCAAGCCAGATTCAGAAGAGGCCATGTAATGAGGGATATCATTGCTGATGTCCAGTGGATCTTGGCTGAAAGCAGACAATACCAGAAAGATGTTTACCTGTGCTTTATTGACTACACAAAGGCTTTTGATTGTGTGGATCATGACAAGCTATGGACAACATTGCAAAATATGAGTATACCTGAACACTTAGTTGTGCTCATGAGGAATCTGTACATGGACCAAGAGGCAGTTGTTCAAACAGAGCATGGGAACACTTAATGGTTTTAAATTAAGAAAGGTATGCAACAGGGTTGTGTTCTTTGACCTTACTTTTTTAAACTGTATCCTGAGCTAATAATCTGAGAAGCTGAATTATATGAAGAAAAACATGGCATCAGGATTGGAGAAAGACTCATTAATAATCTGTGATATGCAGATGATACAACCTTGCTTGCTGAAAGTGAAAAGGACTTAAAATATTTACTGAAGAAAATCAAAGACCACAGCCTTCGGTATAGATTGCATCTCAATGAAAAGAAAATAAAAATCCTCACCACTGGACCAATATACAACATTCTTATCAATGGAGAGAAGATTGAAGGTGTCAAGGACTTCATTCATTCTTCTTGAATCAACTATAAACACTAAGTCAAAGTGACATATATTTTAAAGGTTCAAATTAAATCCATGGCAGTAAAAGTTGCTCTGATCTCATAGTGGTTACGAATCAGGCTGCTAACCTCAAGGTCTGCAGTTGGAAACTACTAGCCATTCTGTGGAGGCAGTCAGTAATCTATGACAAAAAATTTGGAAGACAGCTACATGGTTAACTGATTGGAAAGATCCATATTTAAGCCTTTTACAAATAGAGGTGACCCAATGGAATGTGGAAATCATTGGACAATATCATTAATATCACCTGCAAGCAAAATTTTGTTAAAGATAAATAAAAAATGTTTGCAACAGTGCATTTACAGGGAACTTCTAGAAGTTTCAAGCCAAATTCAGATAAGGACATGGAATGAGGGGGTGTATCATTGCTGATGTCAGATGGATCTTGGCTGAAAGCAGAGAATACTAGGAAGAAATTTACCTGTGTTTTATTGACTATGCAAAGACTTTAAACTGTGTGGATCATGACAAGCTATGGATAACATCTTTCTCCCATGGAGCAACTGATAGATTTGAACTATTGACCTTGCAGTCCAACTCTTAATCCACTATACTATCATGCGATACACAAGGTCAGTTTGAACCATAATGTCAGCTGTTCAAACTCATCAGTCACCCTATGGAAACCCTATACAGGTTCACTATGAGTCAGAGCTGACTCAATGGCACTTTACAACAAAAAACAACAACCATGGTATTAATTGTGAATGCAATTCTCTATAACATTTTGTATATTTATTTTGTATTGTTATTTTTTACCATAACCTGCTTGCAAATTCCATTCCAACTATATTTCCAATTAAGAGAAAATATAAGGGTTAGTCTTTGAGAACTTTCTTTGTCATGAATTTCTGTTGAGTTCTAAAATTTTAAACTATGCTTATGCTGTATAAGTTATACAAAGTTTTAAAAGCTATCTGTCTGAATGGATTTTTAAAATTTATATCAATTGTAATACTTTTCATACCATGCCTACTATAGAATCATGGACAAAACAGTACTTGTGTAAATACAGTAAAGATAATATGAGCTAAATTCTCCCACCCAATTTTAAAGCTTTGTTTTTCTATTTTTTTTCTTTTCTAGAAAGTGCCTTTCAACAGTAATAGAAAAATATGACTTCCATCTGCAATGCCTACTGAAAACCCAGGTATTAGCTTTTGTCACTTCATCCATAAATTCGATAAATTCATTTATTAAATATCTACTATTTCTCTGTTGTTATGTGCCATGGAGTTGGTTGCAATTCATAGTGACCCTCTGTAGGATTTTTGAGAGCAGCTGGTTGGTTTGAACTTTGGACCTTTCAGTCACCAGTCCAGAATTTATCCTAAAATTAAAAAATAAAATAGGAAATCAGAGAGCCTAGATTTGAAAAATGTTCTTTTTATCATAGTAAGACAGATTAGTAGAAAGATGTATCCAATAAAGTGTAACAGATACAGTTAAAAAGTTTCCTGTATACAGGAGTTGAAACATTGAAGTTTCAGTATGCATGTAGGCTAAGCACTGAACTGCTAACTGCAAGATCAGAGGTTCAAACCCACCAACCACTCCTCAGAAACCCTATGCAGGGTCGCTATGAGTTGGTACCAACTCGATGGCACTTGTATTCATGTGCCTTCTAGAAAAGGAGGATAGTGGAGATAAGTGGGAAATAAGGTCAACTTTCAGGCAGAAAACCACATGAATGTAAGCAGAGAGTCAGGAAACAGTCTGTTGCGATTAAGAAACCAGATGAAATTTGGAATGTGTACAAAAAGGGTTCAATGTGAAAACCTCTAAAGAGATCAAGTGAAAAGGGCAAACAGGAATCAGTATGTAGAATATTATGAACCTTTATGGATCATTTTAATATTTTTCTAGTTTATCATCTGAGAACTGAGAATTATTATGCAGAACATTAGAATGAGTAAAGGATGATAACAGGATTATTCCATTAGCCTAAAGAGATGATGAAGGTATGAACTAAAGTTCTAGTATAAAGATAGGGGACAGATTTAGGGCATGTGAAAGTATGTTATTAAATTGATTTGGTGGAAAATGGTGACAACAAATTAAGGGGTGATCAAGAATACCTTCCAGTTTCTTTAGGGCAGCACCAATGAACTAAAATAGGAAAGAGAGAACACAGAAAAATAATGGCTTCTGTCCAAAGCCACTGAGATTTGTCCAGAGCTAATGGAAATCACAATATCCAAGTTGTGATCTCCATTAGGTAGTTCATTTCCTATCATGTGTGCTTCCAAGGAAGGATTTGTTCTTGTTGTTGCTAAGTGCCTTCAAGTTGGTTCCAACTCATAGCGACCCTGTATAGAGTTTCCTAGGAGTGGCCTGTGAACTTGTACTGCAGATCTTGTGGTTCAAACTGATGTTGCAGTCCAGCACATTAAGGAAAGATTGTTGTTGTTGTTGTCAAGTGCCATCGAGTCGGTTCCAACTCATAGCGACCCTGTATAGGGCTTCCAAGGAGCAGCTGGTGAGCTTGAACCACAGACCTTGCAGTTCAAATGGCTTTGTAGTCTGGCGCATTAACCCACAGCGCCACACCAAGACAGAAAGATTAATAAATAAAACATTTCTGCAAATAAAACATCATATTATTACAACAAATTATATGCATCAAAGAATATTTTCAGACAAGGTAGAACTTAGTTTTGTTAATGGACACCTGAGATACACATGCGTAGACATCTTAAGAAGCTATTTTCAATATGACTGAGTAAATATTAAAACTTGCTGCCATCAAGTTGATTCTGACTCATGACGATCCTAGAGGACAGAATAGAATGGTTCCTTTAGGGTTTTGAAGCTGTAAATTTTATGAAAGCAAACAGCCTCATTATTCTCCCTTAGAGTGACTGGTGGGTTTGAACCGCTTAATCTTGTAATTAGTAGCCTGATGTTTAACCCATGGTGCCCCAGGACTCCTTGAAAAAACATATAAGGGATCTGAATATATATATATATATATTTTTTTTTTCTTGATGTTGATGCCAAATTAATTTGTGAATTCCATAAATACAAGTGGGCTTCAAAGTTGTGGAAATTTTCCATACTCTATCAATTCCATTTCTCCATAAACTTTTTGGAACCTCCTCATATATAAAGACATGGAGATGACAAATGTATGATTTGTATTCTTTCCCTAGTACCTCTAACTCTAATTCAATTTTTATTTTCTAGAACCTGGCTTGACTGGAAGTCTAAACTATAAAATTGGAAAATAATTTTCCAAAATTAGGTTATTAGTCTAATAAAATTGTCATAATTTTATTATAATACATTTTTCAGCATAACTCTTTACCCTTGTGGTACTGTTTGTTCCTTGGGTAAAGTTTGATATTTATCAGTGTCAAGAGTGTATTAAGACTCCATTCTTTGTCATTTATATTTCAATATTTCATGACTGTAAGTAGTTTTGCCTTTGAGGTTGTGATCACCTAATAATGGATGAATTTTAATTATCCAAATGTCTTATTACTGCTCATGTGTCATAAACATCTTTCTTTCACGTGTACAAAAAAATTCTGAGAATCTGTGATCATTCTTAATTTCCAAATATAGAAGCTTGATCATGTTACTCATATATGAAAGCGCCAATATTTCTACTTTGAAAGAAACTATTGACTATTATAAATGTTTCCATTATGACTTAGAAGTTGGCAATGCACCAAAGAAATACCATATTTTCACTATCACTGGAAAACGCTGATCATCACTGAGATTTAAATTATTTAATAAATGGGCCATAGTGTCTGTGATTTTCCATATGAATTTCATCCCAAACAATGAGCTTTTGAAATGAGATTCTTCCAAGGAAGAACATTAGCAATAGCTGAGAACTGAAGACAGTCTGTGATATTATCAATTTGCAATTTTGCACTTTGTATTTATTTGACAAGTGTATTAAGTAGCATTTCATAAAAGTCCCAGACAGTATCAATTTCAAAGATAATATGTTTTTTATTATATCTTCCAACTTGAAGTATTACACAAGTTTGATAAAATAACAAATATGCACACTGAATATATATCACATAAAAATAATTGAATAATATGGATAATTCAAATTTCAAATTTTTTTCCTCATGCAGCATGATTTATTTAGATTTGACTTTTACCATATTAGGAGCTCTGATGGTACTGTGAGTTAGACATTGGATTATTAATCACAAGGTTGGTGATTCAAAATCACCAGCCACTCAACTGAAGAATGATAAGGTTATCTGTTCCCGTAAAGATTTACAGTCTCAGAAACCTGGTATAGAATGAGTGAATTAGAATCCACTTTATTGCAATGAGTTTGGTTTTATTATAGTGTTACCAGATTACGTATCATGAGGAACCTGAACAATTCAGGGATGTTGTTAAGTGCCATCAAATCAGTTTCGACCCATAACGACACTCTGTAGTTTGTTACGAATTGGGCTGTGAACCACAAGGTCAGCAGTTCGAAACTACCAGTGGTTCCGTGAGAGAAAGATGAGGTGTTCTGCTCCCGTAAAGATTTACAGCCTCGGAAACCCTTTGCAGGGTCACTATGAGTCAGAACCAAGTCCATGGCACTTAACAACAACAACAACATAGTTTCCAAGGAGTGGCTGGTGAACTTGAACTACCAATGCCACAGTTCAAACCAGCTTAGCAGTTCAGCACATTAACCTACAGTGTCACACCAGGACTCTTCAGGGGTGGTGGTGGTTGTATGCCATGGAGTCAGTTCTAACTCATTGCGACCCTGTCTGTATACAGTTTCTGAAGCTGTAAATCTTTACAGGAGCAGAAAGCCTCATCTTTCTCCCACAGAACCACTGGTAGTTTCAAACTTGCTGACCCTGAGGTTAGCAGCCTGACTTGTAACCACTATCTACCAGAGCTCCTTCATCAGGAATAGGGAACCATTTTTATGCCAAAATTTGTACCATACAAAATTATCAAGTTAAAAATTAGCCTTCTATATTTGGTAAAATATTTAATTAACCCATAATGTGATGGCTGAAATTGCATTGCCTTGACAGGGCCAGACCAAAACATTTCGTGGGTATTATATGAACCACAGGCTGGACGTCCCTCACCCCTGCAAGTGTATATAGACCAAGAGGCATTCCTTCTAACAGAACAAGGGGGCATTAAATGGCTTAAAATCAGGGAAGATATGCTCCAGAGTTATATTCTTTTACCATACTTATTCAATCTGGTGTGGCACTGTGTGTTAATGCACTAGACTGCAAGGTTGGTTTGAACCACAAGGTTGGAGGTGCAAGCTCACCAGCTACTCCTTGGAAACCCTATATAGGGTTGCTATGAGTCGGACCGATTGAACAGCGCTTAACAACAACAACAACAACAATTCAATATGTAGGCAGAGCAAATAATCAGAGAAACTGGATCATAAGAAGAATGTGGCATCAGAACTGGAGGAAGACTCATTAGCAACCTATATTATGCAAAAGATACAACCTTGCTTGCTGAAAGCAGAGGACTTAAAATAATTACTGATGAAGATCAAAGACCGCAATCTTCGGTATGGGTTGCACCTCAATGTAAAGAAAACAAAAACCCTCATCACTAGACCAATAAATAACATCATGATAAATGAAGAACAGATAGCAGTTGTCAAAGACTTCAGTTTGCATGAGTCTACTATCAATACTCATGGAAGCAGCAATCAAGAAATCAATGACATATTACACTAGGCAAAATTGCTGCACAAGACCTCTTTAAAGGCATCAAAAGCAAAGTTGTCTGTTTGAGGATTATGGTGTGGCTGATCCAATCCATGGTATTTTCAGTAGCCTCATATGCATGTGAAAGTTGGACAATGAACAAGAAAGAAAGTAGAATTGATGCATTTGAGTTATGGTGCTGGAGAGGAATATTGAAAACACCATGGATTATCAGAAGAACAAAGAAATGTGTAGTAGAAGAAGTAGAGCTAGAATGTGCCTTAGAAGTGAGGAGGTAAGATTTTATCTCTCATACTTCAGACATATTATCAGGAGGGACAAGTTCCTGGAGAAAGGCATCATGCTAGGTAAAGTGGAGGACCAACGAAAAAGAGGAAAACCCCCTCCTAAGTGGCATCAGCAATGGACTTAAGTGTAACAAAGATTGTGGGGATGAAGCAGGGCCAGGCAGTGTTTTGTT